AGTGACAGTGACCTGATCTCATCAGGGTCTGTCCTGATAAGCATTAAAGTCCTCTGATACCACCTGATCACCTAACAACCCCCAGGAGATGGTGGCCCCAAAGATTCAACACTGAACACAACCGTGGGGCATGGATGGACCTTTGAATCCCAGACTGGTCTGGGTTGGAAGGGGCCTTAAGGACCATCTAGATCACTCCCCCTGCATGGGCAGGGACACCATGGCAGGGTTTGTAGGAAGGGGTGAGGTCACAAGATGCTTGGTAGGAGGCACCTGGTTGGCTTGGAACCAGGACAGGAAAGTGCAAATTGCTGCTGTTCAGTTCCTGCTCCCCCTGGAACCAGAACTTCCCCACATCCCCATTCAGTTCTCCCTGCCAGGGTTTCCATTCTTGGAATTTGGCCTTTCCATAACTTCATGATAAAAAATAATCAGAACTCCTGGTGGATTTTCCTTTCACTTTCTTGGGGTCACATCATTACAGACCACTACACAAGTTAGATTTGGCCTGAGACCCCAAAAACCTCCACGAATCCCAAGCAAAGCTCAAAGAATTCATCCCAAGGGTCACAAAAGTGGTATCATTAGCCCAACCCCCCTGGTGTTTAATATCAAAACAGCCCTTACCTAAGATGATGAGGAGGATCTTCTGAAAGGCACTAGACAAAGCCTTCCCCACAGCAAGTTTCTGAGCTCTTCTTGAGGCTGTCACCACCCCGAGAGGATCTGAAGACAACAGGCAGGATGTTCCTGAGGTGACACTGGCACGTGGAGCTCAGAAACGTCACCCAACCCCCCAGATCTGCCAGGAGAGCTGCTTGTGTTTTGGGAGCTGAAGCAGCACCCTCAGGGGCTCCGTGTGCCAGCAGCACAGGAGCCTCAGCCCTGCTGGGACCCTGCCTGGGGCTCTGCTGGCCCCAGGGCTGTGCCAGTGGGACAGCCATGGGCACAGCGGGTGTGCTGGGGAATGGGTAACTCTGCAGGGCAGAGGGAGAGAACAGAGGGCAGGGAAGTGACCCTGGTGTGAAGCAGGGAGGGAGGAGACACGCTCAGGATCATGGAATCAGAGGGGTTGGAAGGGACCTCTGAAGATCATCGAGTCCAACCCCCCTGCTGCAGCAGGAGCAGATCCCACAGTAAAGTGTCCAGATGGGGCTTGAAAGTCTCCAGAGAAGGAGACTCCCCCACCTCCCTGGGCAGCCTGTCCCAGGGCTCTGCCACCCTCAGGAAAGAAGTTTCTCCTCATGTTGAGGTGGAACCTCCTGTGTTGTCACTTGGTGCTGTTTCCCCTCGTCCTGTCACAGGCACCACTGAACAGAGACTGGTCCATTCTTGACACCCCCTGCAGATATTTGTAGACATTAATAAGGTCCCCTCTAGTCTTCCCAAGACTAAATAGTTCCAGGTCTCTCAGCCTTTCCTTGTATGACATGTTCTAGTCCCTTCATCATCCTTGTAGCCTCCCATGGACTCTCCCCAGTCAATCCCTGTCCCTCTTGAACTGGGGAGCCCAGAACTGGACACCCCACAGATGTGGCCTCACTAGGGCAGAGCAATCCCGTGCTGCAGAGCAGCTCCCAAGGCTCTGCACAGATCCTTGCCTCCAGCTACCTTCAGAGACCCTTCCAGAGCCACAAAAGCCAGGCTGCCCAGGGGCACCTGCCACCAAAAGGTACCTCCAGGGTCTTCTACTGGTGCCTGGCCGAGGGCAGCTCCGCGCGTGCGGAGCCCGTGGTGGGGCAGAGTCACCTCTGCAGCACACAGGTACTTCACAGGTGGCTTCTGCAAGGTCTCTCCCACTTCCTCATCCTCGCCCTCAAAGCCAGACACATTCTGCAGCTGTTGGGAACACCACAGGTCATTCGTTTGGATTAAATAGGAAGGGTTTGTTGCAGCCACCAGGCCTGGGTGGGCTCTGCTCAGCGTGTGACTCAGAGGCAGAAGCAGGTGGAGGAGGCAGAGCAGAGATCTTGGCTATTCTGACCCTGTTTAGGAAATATCCCACAGTCCCCATCCTCTGGGAGTCTCCATCATCCCAGACACTTTCAGAACATGCAGACTTAGAGGGAGCTGGGGGTGTCCAGCCTGGAGACCAGGAGCTGAGGGGAGACCTGCTGGCTCTGCAGCTGCCTGAGAGGAGGTTGGAGCCAGGGGGGGTCGGGCTCTGCTCCCCAGGAACAAGGGGCAGGAGCAGAGGAACCGGCCTCAAGTTGTGCCAGGGGAGGCTGAGGTTGGACCTTGGGAACAGTTTCTCCCTGGCAAGGGTTGTCAGGGCCTGGCCCAGGCTGCCCAGGGCAGGGGGGGAGTCCCCATCCCTGGAGGGGTTTCCAAGCCCTGGAGATGGTGCTGAGGGACACGGGGCAGGGGTGGCCTGGGCAGGGCTGGGGGAAGGGTTGGGCTGGATGAGCTTCAAGCTCTTCTCCAACCTAAATGATACCAGGACCTCTTACTGCTGTCAGGCCCTGGCACTGCTTTCATCCCACCCCCTCTATGTTTATGAGCAGAAGCCCAGCCAGTGCCCTCACCCATCACAATCTTCTCTCCCCAGGCTTTCAAAACACCCCATTTATGGTCTAAACCCCAGCTCCTGCAGCAAGCCAGGACTTGCTGATCTGAGGACATTTCTTCTTACTCCACCATCCACTTTAATGAAGAAGAGGACGAGTAAGGATGGTGGGTGGATATAAAGGGTCCCTTACTGTGATGATGCGACTGGACCAGCCATTGAAGCCAAGGTAGTGGTTGGCCAACTCCTGGCACTTGTTGCTGCTGAGAGCAGGAGCTTGTTGCTGAAACCCCTTCTGCTTGGTGCAAACACAAACCTGTCCAGGAAAGAAGAACCCTGGTTAGCCAGGATTTGCTTGGCAGGTTCCCCCTGCAGACACACTGAAACCTCCAGGGGAGTCACCTGAAGGTGACCTGTGCCCTGACCACATGGCTGCTTCTGAGGTGTGTTCAATATTTTTTACTTGAGAACAAGCCCTATTCTTCTAGAGGAGGGATGTGCTGTTCTACTCACCTGGGTCACACCAACCCCAGGCAACACTCCAGGATTAGGGAAGAGCAGCTGGGAAGTGCCCAGGGGAAAAGCACCTGGGGGTGCTGGTTGACAGCAGGATGTGAGCCAGGGGGTGCCCAGGTGGCCAAGAAGGCCCCAGCATCCTGGCTGGTACCAGCTGTGCTGTGGGCAGCAGGAGCAGGGCAGGGATTGTCCCCTGTGCTGGCACTGGTGGGGCCAGACCTGGAATCCTGGGGTCAGTTCTGGGCCCCTGGGGACAAGAAGGACACGGAGGGGCTGGAGCGTGTCCAGGGAAGGGCAAGGGAGCTGGGGAAGGGGCTGGAGCACAAGTGTGAGCAGGAGCAGCTGAGGGAGCTGGGGGTGTCCAGCCTGGAGACAAGGAGCTGAGGGGAGACCTGCTGGCTCTGCAGCTGCCTGAGAGGAGGTTGGAGCCAGGGGGGGTCGGGCTCTGCTCCCCAGGAACAAGGGGCAGGAGCAGAGGAACCGGCCTCAAGTTGTGCCAGGGGAGGCTGAGGTTGGACCTTGGGAACAGTTTCTCCCTGGCAAGGGTTGTCAGGGCCTGGCCCAGGCTGCCCAGGGCAGGGGGGGAGTCCCCATCCCTGGAGGGGTTTCCAAGCCCTGGAGATGGTGCTGAGGGACACGGGGCAGGGGTGGCCTGGGCAGGGCTGGGTTAGTGGTTGGGCTGGGGGATCTTCAAGCTCTTCTCCACCCCAAAGGAGCCTGGCTCTGCTGCAGCCAGCCCTGGGGGGGTCCCACACTCAGACTCTCTGCACAAGGAACATCCCTGAGATCAACAAGTGTTCCCGCCGGAGGTCGGGGTGCCAAGTCCTTCCCACCTGGGGCTGCTCCTCTTACCTTCAGGGGGGATTTCTGGAACAGGCTGTGCCCGTGGCAGGCACGCTGGGCTCTGCTGGCATCTCCAGCCGAGTAGAACTTGATGGTGGCAGAGCAGGGCCCGGCCCCCCCCGCGTCCCCACGCACCCGCACCGAGTAGAGGGGCCCAAACTGGGAAAAGGCTGAAAACAGGGAGTGCTGAGGGGGGAAAAAGAGGGGAAAAAAAGGGTCTTTTGAAACACCTGTAGGTTCTCCAGGGGCTGAGAAACAGGAGCAGAGAGAGGACTGCTCAGCAGACCTAGTTACCTAGTCAACAAGGAAGGTTTTAGTGCTGTTTAACAGCAATAAACCCTGGAATAATGAGGCTGGAGAGGAGAAATCAGAAAAATAACTTCAGCCTGGCTGGACCTCTGGGCCTGAGGACATTTCATCTCCCTTTCTCAGCCTGTGCATGGAAGGAGAGCAAAGCCAGAGGTGGGGTTTTCTGCCCCCCAAAAAACTCCT